CTTGTTGTCTCAACCGTATAGAGTTGATGAATTTTTGGACAGACATGAGCGCCGCATCAGAAGGGCGACCCGGAACTCATGGTTTCATAGAGGTACCGGACTAACACTACTAACTTACCATATATCTTCTGGTTTTCCCCACAGACCTAGTGGATCGGGGATGGAGAGGGGTACTTTACTACATTATCGTGTAGCTGACTAAATATAGGTGATGATTGCAATGGCTGTCTTTGGCTAAATATTGTGACTTTTGAATTGCAGGTAAAAAGCAGGGGAAGTAAATGTCTGATGGAGAGACTTTGAGTAAACCAGAAAAGGAGACAGATCTCGACGAGAAACACAAGAGTACAACCTGGTCGCTGGCATTTCCATCTAGGCGGCTGCATCCACTAGTTGAGGAAGTGAAAATCTCTGCCACAAACTCGGTGACAAAGTAAGCAGAGAAACTACCGATCCACCTTAGAATATTCGGGAGGGGAGGAAAGCATGGTCTAAAACGATGGGATCTCTTGTTTAGAGTAATGTTCTCTCTCTCTTGTTCAAACTTTTTGTTTGTTGCCTGATTAGCTCCTGGTTTCCTGTTTTGTCAAAGTCCCGTTGGGCAAATGCATAGATTCGTAGCAATGGTTTCCGAGGAAAAGCCGTGTACAGTTTCTTGTTTCGTAGGTTAGGGCATCATGCCTCTCTTCGTATCGTTATAGCTTTGGTTCTTCTGAACTTCTCAGCTTTCAGAAGAGTCTTGAAGTGAAAGAATAGCAAAAATGGAAGGATCCTTAGCTCACAGCAGGTTTACATATTTAAACGTTTGACAGGCTCAGATTATTGCACGCATACAACATTTTGAGGCCCAAAATCTGAAACACATTCAGATTTAAGACCGATCCAACTTCACATTCACATTTAAGTCCAATCCAATTTTTATCATGTGGATTAGGAAGAGTCATTCATTTGATGGAGACCTCGAAGGTGTGAGTATACTGCTACTATGATGTCCCGTGTTAGTTAAACAACCGCATGTAAAGAAAAACTTACACATGATGCTGTATCGCCGACTTAAGAAATCATGGTGGCTTGTGTATTTATGTCATGGAATGGAAGTCCTACGAGAGAGAGAGAGACTTACCTGAAGAAAGAGACAAATACTTAAGGAGTGCACTCGATTTCATGTAGCTTTTAGCCCGTAATTGAGAGAATAACTTCACTGAAACAATGCTGTAAAGGTGACGGGGTTTCAAACTAATTATGTGTCGTTGTGTAACAAAGTTCAAACATATGGAGACATGATAAGTTCGGGACACCGTTAGCACGTCACTTGGGTGTCCCCAGTCTCATATAAGCCTCTAATGGACATCTCAAAACCTTAGCTACTACTACAACTTGTAAGCTTTGCATCAATGGGATCAAAACAAATACAAAACAACATTAAGATGGAAACTAAAGCATGAGTGAAGGGCTCTGCAACCTCCATGATTGTAAAGGGGAACATGAAAAGGAACCAATGGCCCAAATCTGTCACTGCCATGGATATAAAGGGGTCTATCGGGTTTTCCTCCACTCAAACCCTTCAAGTCATAATCATTGTCAGAGCTTGTCTATTATTCAAGATAAACTTACGTTTGTAGCGTTATTTTAAATTAATCACGTATTATTATTACATATTTTGATTTTTTTTCAAATACAGTGCATGATTGGTCACTCACACCCACACCTAACGGGCACTAATAAGATCTCATTCCGCATGAGAAACTGCTGACCATTGTTAACAACACGTTAATTAGAAGAAAGTACAATACTTTAACATACAATTGTTTGAGCTAGTTAGAGAAATGTACCTGAATCTTTTTGTCTATATGACAGTATTTCAAGCCAAATACGTATTGTTGTACGTTAAACTCATCACATAACAGTGATTGACTTAAGATATTATTACAATGACATTCTTGTTGCATGAAAGTTTTTCTCCTCTATGCTGTCATTAACATTGCGCATCATGTGTGGGGCTTATCAATCGACACACACACCCTCGCTTTGCTCAACACCAAAATAGTCCTTATTACAAACATTGTTCTGTTACTTTATAATTAGTACTAGCGCTCGTTTGAAAGTGATTTTAAAATGACTAAAAGATTTTAGTTAAAATATTTTTAGAACCAATCTTTAATAAAAATGCAAGTAAATCATCGAGAAGTACTTGAAGCACTGATGCTTATAGCAGAAAACACTTCAACTACTTTTAGAACTCAAAAATGTTTTCTTTAAAATCGTTTTCAAACGAGCCCCTAGTTAGTACCATCAAATTAATTAAGGTAAGGGGCTATCAAAAATAGTTATTGAAGCAAATGGGATTACTGTTACCATAATAATTACCTTAAGACAAACACATGATGGTGAAGGTTTTGGAAGGTGAGGTCTCGCTTTCACGAATCATCTCCCCAATTGATAAATATTCTCTCAGAATATGCTAGGGTGCACATGGCATGCACGGAGTGGCTGCAATCATTTCGTGGGGCCCTTTTTAAGATGATCACTGTAATCTCACCGTTCATGTCTCTGACATTTTGATAAATCAGTTGCATTGCATGTACGCCACGTGGATCTGGATCTCATTGCCTTTGTGGTCCAAGCTTTTCACCCCAACATGTGCCTCTAATTTCTGCAATGACAATGTTTCTTTGGTTACAAGGACATTTAAAGAGATTAACATAGTAATTAACAACTTAAGTAAATAATGTGGTCAAAAATCCCAAACAAGACTAAGAAACAACATCCGAACAGACAAAACGAGCCTTGGAGATCCCTAAATAATGTCTGAAAGAGATTTCAACAAGATACAATACTAAAAGCGTAAAAACCACAAATCAAAATGACGTGCGAGTTTCATCTTGCGCATGTAAATTGGAGAGTAGGCTACTACCAACCATTCAATGATTTTGATTAATTTTTTACGACATGATGTGTGTTAGATTATTACTATATAACAAAGGTTGCTTGGCCATCACCCTATATTTATTTGTCACCGTCCATTAGTTGAATTGGATGAAAGTTAAAGATTGGACGGCGGTGATTGGTGCTTCAAGAAACCCACCACAAACGAAAACAAATTAGACGGTCCAAACGAATACACGTGAGAGAGCAATCACGTGGTGGTTCCGGCTCCAAGTGCTAAACGACATCCCTCGGGACTGAAAAGCTGTCGTATAGTCGATCACGAGCAAAAGGCGTTTCGGGAAACGGAAACGTACAATTAGAAGAAGGAAAAAAGAAACGTCTTGATTTGATGAGACAAGTGCCATCTGATCTGATGACGTCTCTTTGTGAAGATTTTAAAAATTCGTAAATCTCATCAGTTTATTGTATATCTTGAAAATAGAAATTATTTTAAATATTTTTATTTAAAATTAAACATAAACAATATTTGATAAAAATTAACTGCATAATATACGATAAACAGATATAATTCACGAATTTCTAGGATCTTCTCGGATCCAGAAATGATCATGTTGGCACAAAGAAAGTCGGACTTGGCTTCTCTCCCCTCTCATTTCCCATACACTCTCATCCCTTCTTATTTGTACCGTCAATCTAAGCCACATCAACATTTTATATCACTATTGTTTTTTGTCTTATTATCTTTATAAAAAAAATTAATATAAAATATTGACATGACTTAACCGTGACCGCACAAAATATGATAAGATAAGAGTGTATGAGAACTGGAAGGGCAGAAAAACCGGTCCAAGAAAGTCACCCAGAGAGCAGTGAGAGTCAGCGCACATGGGGATTGGCTACGCGACGACATGACGTTTTTTTTTTTTGGAACGTTATGCGGTATGATTATATAATTTCTTTACCCCACTATCCTCAAAAGATGAACATTTGGGACTTGGACTTTAGAAAATTCTTGGATGGTAAATCAAAGCAAATTAAAATAATTATGTACCTTAGAAATTTCAAAGTAAATCGTCCCATTCTGAAACAACTTCGTAGTTGGAATACATAAAAGAAGACAAAATTTGGATCACAAAAATCAATTCTGTAATTCTTGATTTATCTTGATAATGATTGTTTCGAAATAAACTTGAGTCGTTACTTTCACTTTTAAGTTTTCGACCCAACTAATATGTTGTAATAAGAGAAGAAAAATGTTAAGCAGATTCTTTAAAAAATGAATTTTTATAAACTTTTTGTTACCTCATATTTTCAACACAATATTTTATAAGATTACCAGAAAAATTAACGTTAAATTGTGAAATGATAGAGAGTATAAAGGATTCAGAACTTTATGAGAGTTTCCTTAGTATTTCTCTTAAAAAGAAGTAAACTTGCTCAATGCTTTTTAATCATGGATAATTTCTATGTTTTTTTTATTGAACAAACGATATTATTTACGCTAAGGGAGAGTGAGTGGACTTAGCCTCACATTGGCTAGCAATAATATGGTTCAAACTTGTTTTTAGTGAGAATCAAACATAAGACATTTCACTTATAAGTGAAGAGGAATACCACTAGATCGTAGTACTAAATGACGGATAATAATTTCTATGTTGAAACCATAAGTTTGACTAAACTGTAAATACCAAAAAAAAAAGCTTTTACCTTAGACCTAAGAAACGAAAAGAGATTATCTTCGGATCTCTTCCATCAAATCCACTCAATCAATCAATCCAGATCCTTGAAATTTGATCAAACAGCTACAAACAGGAAGCCCATTTAAAAATTATAATAACTTTAGCTATTATATCAAATTTTAAAGGTTCGAATTAAATGATTTGGTGAAAGATATCCGTAGAGAATCATTTTCCGAACAAACGTAATCTTTCCCTTTTCAGACAGTAACAGTGGTCTTAATCATCTCGTAACGAACTTTATTCATCAATTAATTAATTTGCCACTATCGTATTTGCCACGTCGGACAGCTGCCGGCCGATCCCTCCCCCGCGCTGCCCCACCCGAAAAACGGGAAAAAAAATGAAGAAAATTAAATTAAACAAAAAAAAAAAAAAAAAGGAAAGAAAGCGAGAGTTGCAGAAGACACACAGAGGTGCCCCCACGGAGACAAGAGGAGAAGAAGACGGGTCGGGTCTTGTAGCTGCTTTCTCCTTCTCAGTCCACTTCTCTTCTCTCTCTCTCTTCTTTCTCTCTCTAGAATTCCCTTTGCTTTGCCCTTCCCAAAACCCCCACTCCCTCACTTCGTCTCGGGAATTCAATTCCCCCTTTTGATTTTTTTTCTCAATTGGCGATTTCTTTCGGGATTTTCGTTTCGCCGGAAGGGTTTGGCTCGTTCGGGTCGGGTTTTGGACCGTTGAAGAATCGGTTAAAGGCGAGATCTGGCTGCGTATATTGCAAGGGATCGGAATTGTGATCCAATTGGAGCTGATTTCGATTACCGTTTTGGATCCGATCGGGGGAGAAACAGCGCCATCAGATGGCGCTGTTCAGACGATTCTTCTATCGGAAGCCGCCGGATCGGCTTCTTGAGATCTCCGAGCGGGTGTACGGTACGTCGCCGTTTCGTCTTTCTTGAGAATTTTGCCAAATTCTGCGAAGTTCTGGTCTTTTTGTGCTCAATCTGTTGAGGTTTGGGCCAATGCGGTTGGATTTGATGGAAATTCAGAGTCTTTTCTGGGGTTCTTGTTGAAATGCGATTGAATTTGCTTCGAATTCGATCAAATTTTGTTTTTTCGTGCATTATATATGCTTGTGGATTGTTTTAGCTCAAAATTGTGAACCTTTTAGTGTAATGTGGATTGATTTTAACTTGTTTTGGCTCCGAATTATGCAGTTTTCGACTGCTGCTTCTCGACCGATGTGTTGGAAGAAGATGAGTACAAAGTATACTTGGGTGGCATTGTAGCGCAGCTGCAAGACTACTTCCCAGATGCTTCTTTCATGGTGTTTAACTTCAGAGAAGGGGATAAGCGGAGCCAAATTTCCGACGTGCTTACGCAGTATGACATGACAGTAATGGATTACCCTCGGCAATATGAGGGGTGCCCGCTGTTGCCACTAGAGATGATTCATCACTTCCTTCGTTCGAGTGAGAGTTGGTTGTCATTGGAGGGGCAACAGAATGTGTTGTTGATGCACTGTGAAAGAGGAGGATGGCCTGTTCTCGCGTTTATGCTTGCGGGTCTTCTGTTGTACCGTAAACAATACAGTGGGGAGCAGAAGACTCTTGAAATGGTTTACAAGCAGGCTCCTAGGGAACTTCTCAATATTTTATCTCCTTTAAACCCACAGCCTTCGCAGATGAGATATCTTCAGTACATTTCACGACGAAATTTGGGTTCTGAATGGCCTCCATCAGATACACCTCTACTTTTGGATTGTCTGATACTTCGAAACCTACCGCTTTTTGATGACGGAAAAGGTTGTAGGCCTTTTATCCGTGTTTTTGGTCAAGACCCTTCTACACCAGCTAACAGGAGCTCTAAGCTTCTCTTTTCAACTTTAAGGAATGAAAAGAATACCCACCTCTATGTACAGGTAATGTCTACTTCATGCAACAAAATCTGATGACTAATGATATATTTTTTAGCGTTCTTATGAATCCTAATCACAGGCAGAGTGTGTGCTGGTGAAAATTGATATTCGTTGCCGTGTTAGAGGGGATGTGGTTCTTGAATGCATCCACCTAGATGAAGATCTGGTTCGCGAGGAGATGATGCTGCGGGTTATGTTCCACACAGCATTTGTACGATCAAATATATTGATGCTGGGTCGTGATGATATTGATATTCTTTGGGATGCCAAGGATCAGTTTCCAAAGGACTTTAGAGCAGAGGTATGTCATTGTTTATTCTTATATGGGTGTCCTTTTCTGAAGCTATAGGAGTTAAATGCATACTCAAATCTGTATCAGGTACTTTTTCTGGACGCTGATGCTGTTGTGCCTAATATCACCACAGTTGTGGCAAGTGAAGAAAGCGAGCCAGGGAATGCATCACCTGAGGAATTTTTTGAGGTGGAAGAGATATTTAGCAATGCATTGGATTCACACGAAGTGAAGGCGGATTTGGACACTTCCATGGTTCACGACAATACTCCTAAAGATATAGTTCAGAAAAAAATCTGGAAGGAGGATTTAGATCGTCAGGCATTTGTAGACTGTACGTCAGATGATGGGAAGCACAAAAAGGACAGAAAGGCAAATTCTAATATTGATGCGGTGAAGGACATTGCTGTTGACGATGTGAAGTACAAGCTCAATGAGGTGGATTCCAATGTCGATGCAGTGAAAGACATTGCTGTGGATGATGGAGATATGAAGTCAAATTTCATCCCAGTTGCTGCTGATGTGCGGAGTCATACTGGATCTAAGGAAGTGGTAGAAGAGGTGTGTCAGAAATTGGAAGAGATGGAAGATATAATTAATGAAGAAGACTGCGCTCCACGGAAGAGGTCAGAGACCAAGGTTGCACAATCAAAACCGAGTGCTGAGGTCTCTAGACCGAAATCTGAGAGATTGCAGCCACCTGCTTATAAGAGACAGCCTTCATTTAATGCAAAAGTAGGTGCAGAAACTACGGTTGCAAAACAGAAGACTAAACAACAAGAAACTCAGGGCACTTCGGCAAAAATAGCAAAACCAAATGCAGTATCTAGGTGGATTCCCCCTAACAAAGGCTCTTATACTAATTCAATGCATGTTTACTATCCACCATCAAGATATAATAGTGCACCAGCTGGTGTTGCCAGTACTGCTTCTTCAAAAGATACAAATGCAAATGCTCGATTGAAAGGTTCTTCTGGAACTGTGGTTTCAAAGGATGTGGAAACTGAACTGAAACATAGTAAGGTGGACCCTTTGAAGCATTCAAAGTCTGCACCAGAGACACTTACAGAGACATCCACATCCTGCCTGCCATCGACACTACCACCAATCCAAGAGACAGAGCTTTCCTCTATTAAAACAGAACATATTGATGCAGCAGTAGTGGCCCCTCCGCCTCCACCTCCACCTCCTCCTCCTCCTCCTCCTCCTCCCCCTCCCCCGCCCCCTCCACCACCTGTGTCTCAAATATCTTCATTGTACACTTCTCCTATGCTTTTGTCACCAGCTACCCCATTGTCACAGGTAGCTGTACCTCCTCCACCACCACCGCTGCCACCTCTGCTAAGTGCTAACTCTATCTTCTCAAAGCCCTCTTCAGTCTCGTCCTTGTTCCCATATCCTCCCCTGCCACCACCACCACCACCACCTCCACCTCCACCTCCACCTCCTTATGCCTTGTCATCTAGCACGCAGAATATTGGTATAGCTTTGGTCCCTGCACCTCCCCCTCCCCCTCCGCGACAATCTGGTGGGCAGAATAGTGGCACCATAATGCCTCCACTGACTTCTTCATCTCTTTGGAAGGTTGGGTACTCTTCAGCTGCCCGTGTTACACCACAGCCGCCTCCCCCTCCACCTCCTTTTGCTGCAAGTGCATCCAAGCCTCTTGGAGTTGGAGTACCTACTCCACCGCCACCACCTACTCGTGGTACCCCACCTCCTCCACCGCCTTCTCCTATGTTGGGAGTTTCATCTACTCCACCTCCACCACCCCCACCACCACCACCACCTCCAATGCAAGGAACTCCACCTCCCTTACGTGGAGCTTTACCGCCACCCCGCCCCCACCACCTCCAATGCAAGGAGCTCCACCTCCACCACCGGCACCACCGTTACGTGGAACTCCACCTCCACCACCCCCACCACCATTTTCAGTGCAGGGAGCACCTCCACCACCACCACCACCACCTCCAATGCGTGGAGCTCCACCTCCACCACCAACACCTCCAATGCGGGGGCCCCCCCCTCCACCGCCACCTCCTATGTATGGTGCCCCACCTCCGCCAACACCTCCTATGTATGGTGCCCCACCTCCACCGCCCCCTCCAATGCATGGGGGGCCACCTCCACCACCTCCACCACCTTCAGGACATGGTGCACCACCTCCGCCGCCCGCGCCAATGCGTGGGGGCACACCTACACCCCCTCCACCACCATCAGGGCACGGTGCACCACCTCCTCCTCCACCTCCTGGTGGAGGTCGCACTCCCTCACTGCATGGAGCACCACCTCCCCCACCACCTCCAGGAGGTTGTAGTCCTGGGCCTCCTGCTCCACCTGGACTTCCTGGTGGTGCTCCTCCACCGCCACCCACATTAGGTGCCAGAGGAGCTACCGCTGGTAGAGGGCGCGGACGTGGGATACCTGCCACAGCGCCCCGACGGTCCTCTTGTAAACCACTACATTGGAGCAAGGTGACAAGGGCGTTGCATGGAAGCCTGTGGGAGGAGCTGCAAAGACATGGAGAGACTCAAAAGTATTCCATCTTATTTTTCAACTTATCATTCCGTTAGCAGCATGTTTTCTGCCATAAAGTTATGTTGTTGATTTGATGGATCTTACATGTTTAACACATGCAACCGTGTATTTTGTTTCAGATTGTTCATTTCAAATCACTAATGTGCTTCTCTTTTAATCTAGTGAGCCAGAATTTGATGTGTCAGAGATAGAGAGCCTTTTCTCTGCTATAGTTCCAAAACCTGCAAACTCAGATAAATCTGGAGGGCGCCGCAAGTCTGCTGGTTCTAAACCTGAGAAAGTCCAACTGGTAATTTTGTACAATTGGTTATTTTACTGTAAAATCATATATTCTTAAAGTTATGCTTGTTAAAGGGGATTCTTTTCCTGTTATACTTTCTGGGTCTTCCTACCAGTTATGGGGTTTGATTATTCTGTTAGAATGTAACCATCTATCATCCATCCCTCCATGTCTCCAGAGTTTTTGTTATATAGTTGCACTTATATTAATTAGTTGGGTGTGCACGTTGCTGCGTGTTGGCTATATTCGTTAAAGCAGAGATTTGTTTTGATGAATATTTTTTTTCTTCATTTTTCAATATAATGTCAGATGCTATTACTTCTCTATTTTCTTACTGTGATTCACTTTGTTCCACATTGTAGATTGACCTGAGAAGGGCAAACAACACAGAAATTATGCTCACAAAAGTTAAGATGCCACTTCCTGATATGATGGTAAGCTGATCCAGTTGAATTTCTTCTTACTCGTGGTTCGTGAATATAGATAATTTGCTTATCTGATGAGTCTTCTCAATTGGCTTTTACTTTCCGAGTGTTTCTAATGCTGATGTTGTAAATGAACACTTTTCATACTTAGCTAATTATGTATTTGTATGCACATTCTCAGGCTGCCGTTTTAGCAATGGATGATTCAGTATTAGATGTTGATCAGGTGGAAAATTTAATTAAATTTTGTCCTACTAAAGAAGAGATGGAACTTCTTAAGGTGTGGCCTTTATTCGTTTTTACAATTTTTTTTTTGTTTTTTTTTACGATTTTGTTGGTTATTTTTATAGTCCCTTTTTACAATCTGAAATGACTTCATCTCCTCATCAATTATATATTTTCTTGCTTGTGATTTATGTTGTTTAGAACTACACTGGTGACAAGGAGACCCTGGGGAAGTGTGAAAAGGTATAACCAGATCATAGCATATTCTTGAAGTATTTGTCTTAGTAGATTAATGACAATAAGAGCATCTCCAATGGTAAGATGAATATTTTGCATCTCCATTGGAGCTTTCGGGCCAACCAAAAATGTATATTACACATTCAAGGGATTGTGCATATCCCATTGGAGATGCTCTAAGTCGCTGGCCTTTTCTGTGCCATATACAAAAGCTTTGACCAGATTTTGAATATTATAAATTATGATTTAAATCTTATTGTGTCCCCATGATCTTGTGCTTTATTAATTTATAATATTAAGGAGACACAGATTAGTCCATTCACCACTTATTCAGTTTAATTTAAAAATATTCCTCCAATATTATTACACTTGTAAATGTGGCGGCAATGGAAGACTTGAAGATGGCTGATAATCAGTAAACATCAATAAATGATTTCCCTTGACTGTTGAAAAATAAAAGATTTTGAGATGGACCAACTTCTTTTTGCGTGAGGAGTAAACAATATATGGAATTTTTCCATCCGATACCAAGAAATGATATGTTTTTACAATGTTTTAAGGGATATAATTTGCTTGTCCTTGTTTAAGATGCTAAATTACACTGCTATTGGTTTAATCGGTGTCTTAATTAGACATAGGAAAACCCCAAAGGAAATTAGTGAGGCACTACCTAAACTTTATTGAATGGTCAGGTGGAATCATTTCAGATTAGTTTCTTGGAGATATTCCCAACTTTTGTGATAGTAGTGCTCTGCATTACATAAACTTTATTAAGTTTTTGAATATTGTTTTCCTAATTATGTTTTATGTTGCTTGGAGAATTTCAATAATAGCAATTATGTGCTAGATGTTTTGAGTGCATATTGGATTGTAATTTCCCTTAAATATTTACAGCTATAACTAATTGTCAGATATTTAAAGTCTCTGTATATTTGTAATGTTTCAGTACTTTTTGGAGTTGATGAAAGTGCCTCGGGTGGAGTCAAAGATGAGAGTTTTTTCTTTCAAGATTCAGTTCGGCACTCAGGTTTGGTAGTATGTGCTATTTTGTTCCTGGTGTCAGTAAATGTGGCCTAATGTTTTTCTCTTTGCATCTTTATCTAATTTTTGACCTCTTTTGCAGGTCTCAGAATTTAAAAGAAGTTTGAACACAGTAAACTCTGCATGTGAGGAGGTATGTCAGTACTAATAATGAATCGCTTCCTGCAGTAAATAGATACCGATATTAACTCAGCTACTCTTTTACTGATAAATTAGGTTCGGAACTCTGCTAAGTTGAAGGAGATTATGAAGAAGATTCTTTTTTTGGGGAACACATTGAACCAAGGAACTGCAAGGGGTATGTTATATTGGAATTTGTTATGTTTGTTGAATTTAGAGCATGTAGGAAGGTTGTTTTATATGTTGCTTGAAGTAAGAACTTTAAGATAACCTATTATTGTAGACTGGGAAGTATTAAGATAAATTATGTGAATCACATGCTGGATTAAGAGTTACCGGCAGAAGCATCCTTTATTTGAAACCAGCTATTTCGTATTCCATTTTAAATTCCTATCTACACTTAGCTTTATTTTTGTGAAGCCTTTGTGAAATGATATGAATTGTTAAATTATTTGTACAGGTGCTGCTGTTGGGTTTAAGTTAGACAGTCTACTAAAGCTCTATGATACACGTGCGTCTACTAGTAAGATGACACTCATGCATTATCTTTGTAAGGTATGTTTCATTTTTTTTTTTTTGGGTTATGCAGTGAATATATTGAAGCAAATGCGTTATTGTCTGATGAGAACTAACAAATAAGAGATGATTGCGTGCAAAATTTCTCATTCTTGCCAAATTTTTTTGGATACAAGTTTTCTCACAGATGGATATGTTGTCTCTGTTTTTTCTGTAAGCGGTACTTACCATCAAATTTTGAATCTAAGGTTTGGCTTTCTTGTGTCTTAGATCCTTGCATCTAAATCACCGGGACTCCTTGATTTTCACCAGGACCTTGTCAGCCTGGAACCTGCAACAAAGGTGGCCATTTGTTTCCTTGGTGTTAATTTAATTGTAAGCATTGTAGTTAATTTTTGCATGTGACAAATCTTGTTTCCATGCAGATACAATTGAAGTCTTTAGCAGAAGAAATGCAAGCCATAATCAAGGGGTTAGAAAAGCTCAATCAGGAGCTGACGGCATCAGAAAATGATGGCCCTGTGTCAGACGTTTTCCGTAAGGTATTAAATTTTTCCCTTTTAATGCTAAAAGGCCAGTCTTTTTCTTCTTCTGGTTTCTTTATGGGTTCCCTAACAATTTTTTTGGTACTTGTTTTTATTGTTGAATTTCTAGACGTTGAAAGAGTTCATTACTGTTGCTGAGACCGAAGTGGCATCTGTGACGAACCTATATTCTGTGGTGGTAATATGCTAATTATCAACTGTGTCCTTGTGGCCGGTCTTATTTTGTATTTTATGATCTCAGCATTGTCATTTGCTTTTGGTGGACAGGGTAGAAATGCAGATGCGCTTGCATTGTATTTTGGTGAGGATCCCGCCCGCTGTCCATTTGAGCAAGGTTAGTAGTGGATGGGGGTGAGGGTTTTTTAAGTTTTTAGATTTTGGATTGGGTAAGAGAGTTTATGTTTTCGGTGGAACCTATATGTTTTTTATGGGACGGGGGTTTTTCTGGATGCGCACAATCTGTAATTAACTCTTTTCATGTATACATTCTGAAACTAACTATCATCGTATTAAAAACCCTTTTTTGATGACTGCAGTTACCGTGACTCTCTTAAATTTCGTGAAGTTGTTTCGGAAAGCACACGAAGAGAATGTCAAACAGGCTGAATTGGAGAAGAAGAAAGTCGAAAAGGAAGCTGAAATGGAAAAGGCCAAGGGCATTAACCTCACAAAAAAAACACCAAAATAGGTGAAGATTATAGTCACTCTATCACTACATGGGAAATTGAGCTCTCCTGCCATACTTGCTCTTAGGACCCAGTGTTCGGTCGCAGTGTTCCTAACCAGTTGCAAGGAGCATATTTGCTTTTAGGACCCTGGTCGGAATCCCTTTCTCAGAGCTTGTGCAACGGAAGGCCCTTTGAGATTTATTTGGATGAGGGCAGAAAGGGCAACTGATCGAGTCCTGCAGCATTCGAAGTTGTGAACTATGCATGAATCTTAACTATACATGCTTGACAAGATGTTCAATCAGATGATCACGGCCAACTGATCAATCATGCGGGATGTCATACAAAGAGACCGGACCTTGGCTTTCACTCGACAGTTCTATCCATTAATTGAGAAGCAAGGGTTCCCCGAGGCAATCTGGTTTCGGCTGCCATCATGATGTCGGATCTGGCCCCTCTGGCGTCCTTGTGAGAGCAAAGTTCAGTCTCGGTTCAGCCTAGGCGATCAGGTTTCGGCTTTCACCATTCGTTTGGCATAAAATGTACAGCACACACCAAGGAAGATGCCGTTGGGATCTGTAAAGCACCCGCCTTCCTGCTGTACCGTTAAATCCTGTACAAATCACGCTAACCCTCTCTCCGTAGTTTAGAATTCAATTCATTTTCGTGTAACATATAATTTAGTTCCTCGTTACGTTGAAATTTTGGATAGGAGACCCCGTCGTGTTAGGCGTTGTATAGGTAATCAGGTTCAGAAAGAAACTAGACGATCGACGGGGGAATTTCGTTAATTTTTTAGGGTAATTGTAAAATAAGTATAGGCTGGTTTTAGAAACTGACTGTTGCTTCCTTATGGTTGTTAGTCAAAAAGTATACTTCATTCATGAAATGTGTGTGTTTCTGTGTGTATTTTTTTGGTTAAATAAAAGGGCTAATAGCCCGACAAAAGAGAAATTACAAAGTAATGGTACGAGGCCGAGAGACATCAGAAATTATAAAATGTTAGACAATGATAACTGCTTACAAAATACGTTTTCGAATGATTTTTGTGGTTTTTCACAAAAATCAATATGTAAAAACCGTGAGCTACATTTTTGGGGAAAAATGCCTAAAAAATGCGATGGTTGAGTTTTCACACGATCTTTTGCAGACACAATTAGAGAACAATTTACGCAGGCCGAAACATCTATGAAATTATGCATGAATTGTAAGAATTTATAAACGGTTGCAAGATGTAAATTTTATATTGCTCAGTCACTCCGGTACATTTACATTGGAATATGACCAATATTATTCGTTTAATGCTAAGCCAATACAAAACTAACCAAGATTTTATAAGCATCTATCACCAGCTGATCTGTAATTTAAAAGAAAAAAAATAAACCAACACAAAACTAACTTGAATAACAAAAAAGGAAAAAGAAACAAAGAGACCTAAATGTATCATTCACACTGCTAAAGTTGCCAACCTAACTTGGAACAAAGCAACTAAATTAAATTGGAATAAAATAATCATAAGCATTTTTTTTTTTTTTTTTTTTGCAATACCTTTTTTATATTCTTTCTTCCATAAATAAAGAAAGAACTAAAATGGATTGGTTTGAAGTTTGAAGGGTCCTTTGAATTTCTTGAACCAAAATTCATGGAAGCACTTTCATGGAAGCACTTTTGACAGCCTTCAAATCTCCACGACTTTCTTCGTCGTCTCTGTGTTCGATCCGTCGAGAACTCGGCTTGCAGCTTTGTAAGAACATAAAGCTCACAGTAATATCAAGAACAACAAGAATTGAGTACAAATAAGCAAGGAAAACACCCTCCATAGCCATGGAAGATCCGAGCTTTCCTGCGAAATGATAAGCTCGTACGATGCGGTATTGGAACAATGCTTCAACTGCAGCTAGGGTTAAGCTGACAGGCAGAGCAAGACAGAGAGCCGTTGAAGTTCTTCCTCTGATCAAAAGACAGGCCTTGAGAATTGCCAAGTAACCGCCACTCTTTTGTGCACCTGATAGAACCAATGCAAGATTGCATATTATGAGCGCATTGGCAAGAACAATGGAGTACAGAACTGCCCCAGATACCGATAAGAAGAGGAGGGTGTTCGGAGAAGAGAAACCGAGTCCCTCGAGGACATTGAAGGCGATGAACAAGAGAGAAAACACTGTTGCATTGGCAGAGAGGATCAAAAACGAGTTGTAGACATGAGTGTGGAGGAGTGGGGTGTAGAGAGAAATTGTGGAAAGAAACGATGGGTGTGACGAGGTATTCGGTTTTTGGTGGTGGCTGAGAGATTGGATTACAAAAGCTTTGGTTATGAGGAGGAAGGTGAGGGAGAATGGGAATGTGAAGATTGAGGAGGTGATGGTTTGGGAGAGCTTGTTGTTGAGAATGGTGAAGAATTCCAAGGAGGGAGGGAAGCCGGCCGCGTCAAAAAGGCTGTGCAGGCGGTTGTAGACGGCGAGCAAGAGGGCGAAGCTAGACGGAAGAAGTGCTTGTGAGATGAGAACTGAGGCTGAGAAGGGTAAGGCAATGACTGCTGCAATTGAGGTGAAGTATTGGTAGTTTAGAAGGAATGTGTGGACTGATTTTCTGATAATCCTGCCTGCCTTTTCCATTGCAAGAACTTTTTGAGCCTTCTTGCACTCCAAGGGAGAGGAAATTGGTATGAAACTGGGTGTGTGAATCACAAAATTGGGTGTGTATTAGAAGAGAAATGTCGGTTCTCTTCTCTTCCCAAATTTTTTAATTGGCTCTCTCTCTCTCTCTCCCTCTCTCTCTCTCTCTCTCTCTCTCTCTCTCTCTCTCGGTTGGTGTCTTGGATGCAAGGACTGGCCAACAACTAAAACTAACAAATTTGCAGAGCTGGAGTTGTTTGGGAAGGCTATTGTTTTCATCAAAGAAATTACTTGGAGTCTTTTGGTGACATTGTAATCTCCAAATTCCCAATAATGTAATTGGACAAAGGAGGATGGATTATGAGTACAAAGAAACCTTTGTTTTGGATTGCTTCAAGTATACTTTTTTTTTTTTTTTGTTTCATGATGATAGCATCATTTTTTTCTCCCTTGACTTAACTTCAAAGAACTGTTTTTGGATTTGGATATAAAATCATAGGAAAATGTAAACCCTACATATTTTTCTGGAAATTCTTATTGGGAAGGGATATGTGGCACCATTTTTTTTTACACAAATTTCCACATGTTTTTGTGGGGCCCTTTTTGTAATGTATTTCAACGATTCTAACCGCTTATGTTTTAGCTTGCCCTCTACCAAAAATTATCTAAATCTAAAACCATATAACCGTTGGATTAGGGGTTTAGGTTTGTTCTTTTTTTCATTACAAATGAATGTCTTAATGGTTTGGACTCATCTAATTTTTTGCAAAGATAATCTATAAATGATGTTCTAAAACATAAACGGTTCGGTATATTAAAATACATTACAGAGTAAGTCCCACAAAAATGTGTGTCAACCGTTGTAAAAAAAAGTAGTGTCACAAATCCGCTCCATGTTTAATAGTTCTTTGAAAAAATTATTCTGCAATCCTTCATGATAAAAAGTAAAAGAAGAAAAAGTGTAGGATGACTATTAGAGTACTAAATACTAATAACAATCTCCTAATTTATGAATTATCATATAGATGAAAATTTGAGTGCAACTCTAAGAAGATAAAGGTAGATCTTGTTGTTTGCCAAAGATATCTATACTTCGATGCAGTCACCACAAACCTCATGCATGAATTTTGTAAAAGATAAAAGGTAGAATACTTCTCTTTTGTTTTTTTTACTTCAAAAAGGATCAGCTAGTCGCTAGTCACGGCAATTAAACTTGTATAGAAAAAAAATATATAAATTTAGAGAATATTAAATAATCACTTAATTAATAATTTATTAACTTATTAATTTATTCATGTATTCTTTATTTTCTAAAATATTTTATATTGTAATCTATGTATTTTTTTAACCAAGTAAAATTCATGAATTTACTTCTTCTTTTTTCAAAAATAGATTGTGCATTGTTGAATATACTACATTATTTTATTTTATGAACATTTAACCAAGCAAAAATTTTATTTAAACAAACAAAACGGAAAATTTTGAATTTTGTCATAATCATTAAACAAAGTTATATGAGTATTTTTTTGTTGTTAAGGTTTAAATATTTGGGGCTCTTATCATTAACTTTTTTATTCTTGAAAGTAAATTCTAAGATAAATAGATAAACAATTGACCTTCACGCGACCTGTAAAGTAGTCCTTATTTTGTAATGTTTCACGTGGGAATAGTATAATTCTTATTTTGCAATATAATTATAATAATAGCTATCTGCGAAATAAAAAGGAAAAGAAATGTCGAAATAAATTAAATACAAATTGGTTTAGAATAGGATGTGTCACCTTCTTATTCTGTCAACAATTATTTATGATAATAATAGGACCCTATCATTTTTTTAACATAAATCCTCACCGTCGATTTTCATATTAAATCAGATCCACTGATAGATGCCTCCATCTCTTGAATTTCTGCATAAATGCACATCATCCATTTTGTCATGATTTATTGTAATTTTTTTTTTCAAATGCAGATTTTGTTCAATTAAATGTTAGATTAGTCACCGATAGTGTTTAAATTCATGCCATCTTACAAGTCGCCACGGTGGACCTGTGGTAAAGGACCGCTTGCATGATTTATTGTAGTGTACTTCTCTAAGTTTACATCCACACTAGTATTAATTTTTTGGCTTTTTAACAAAATAATGGCTTCTTAGATTGACATAACTCTTTACTTTTGTTCTTGAGATTTAAAATCTATAGAAATGATCCATGAGTTTGTCCACGTCAATCATTTGGTCCTTGCATGAAAAATCTCTGCTAAATAAGACTAAAATGACAAAAATATCCTCTAATTTTGTTGAATTATTTTGGCCCATTGTTTACTAAATTGAAGGTATTTTTGTCATTTTGGTCTTTATTTAACATAAATTTTTCACAGAATGACCAAAATGATTGATGGTGGACAAACGTAAGGACCGCTTCTATTGATTTCAAATCTCAGGGACCAAATTGAGGAGTTATGTCAATCTTAGCGACCATTTTGGCTAAAATGCCATTTTTTTCTCTAATGCAATTAGAGGGATAAAGAAAAGGGAGCGAAAAGGGTTTTCCATGAGATGGGAAATGAAAACTATTAGCCCCATAGAAGGTTTGTGAATAAGTGATTGTCTGATAATGAGCAAGAAATATTCATCTTTTTGCTAAACATAATGTATCAAACTCATAATTCATTAGAAAATTTTTATGAATGTTAACTAAGTATCGTAAATAAATTGCTCCCGGTTGTTCAATAATTTGATAACCATTGTGTCGCATATGTTATTGACATGTCAATAACTTGATTTTACATTTCTATACGTCTTATAAATATGTCGTCGAGAAACTTGACTGAACTTTTAAGAAAAGTGTTATTAATGGAGAAATTGTGTTAGTGTGAGAGGAAATGGTTTTTAAAATTTATTGATTTAAATAATTAAATGAAATAATATTAGTGAAATTCTGCTGAGTTAATCAACATGACTGGGTATGTTTAGGTGAGAAGCCTTAATCCGATGGCCCAATAAATACAAAGATGATGAGGGATTATCGTCTTCATCATGCGGCTGAGCTTGGTGCGCAGACTTTTGACTTGGTTGGGTGCTTACTTCCCTGCTTTGGTGAAGTGTCTGTGTTTGTGGTGACCTTCTAACTTGAAGATAATTTAAACCAAAATGTGTTGTATAAGGACTATGAGTTCACCTAGCTACATTCCACGTGGACTTCACATAAATAAACAACAAAAATGATAACTTTTATTGCATTTTTCGTATAACATTTTTAATAAGAGTTCCACATGTATTGGTGGACCCTATCTAGATTAGAGAGGTTTTAACGAGACATTTATTATGGGTTGGTTATACCTCTGTATGCATTCTACTTGCGTCCTGAAAACGTTTAGTTTTGACTTAATACAACTTCTCACTTTTATCCATAGATTGTGAGATTTATTCTACCTTGTGTTTTACTATAGCCAAGTTTTGTGAGTTTTATTACTTATGTATTCTTTTGTTATTTATTAGCCTCGCATTCGCTTATTGTGCCGACTTGACAATACTACTTCATCAACTATTTCTACATCATCACATGAAAATCTGATGCGTAATTTACTTGAGTATTTACACACTCAAGGGGGTGTTGCAATCCAAGCATCGTTAAGAGTGTGATTGTTTAAATCCTAGTGAATTATATGTAGGATTCTGCAGTATCTTTTAGATAGTTTCCATGTATAACATGTATTACTTGGAGAACAAATTTATTTCTCCCTTATTAGTATAAATAAAAACATATAAATAAAGACACAATGCATGATGAATAACACTCACGAATCCCTTGAGCCCTTTTCTCTCTTCTCCTTGCCGCTAGTTCTCTCCCTTGCTTTTCCCTCAGTAAAATAGGCGTACAACAAAATTAGCTTTGTTGAATAAACTTTTTTCTTTAATACAAACGACCAAAATATAATAAATATACACCCTAATTGCGATTAACGACCTTTTCCAACAAGTGAGATATATACATCATTGCATAAAGTTGACAATAAATTAATCAAGAATACACATCAAGTGACTGTTTTTAATTATTTTGATTTTGAACTTTATTTGCCAAAGAGTTGTTCGATCTACCAAATTAATTATTGGATCAATTGCTTTTTCATTTTTCTTATTGTGAAAAATTAAAGACCACATATATGGGTTGTAATCTGTGACAACCCCTATTATTCATATTTGGTTCTTCAATAATACAATGTATTAGTTTCATCATCTAATGATTTATATATATACAAGAGAAAAATGATTAAATAACAAAGGTTGCACACAAAAATTAAAAAAAAAAGAGACGAAAAAGATGCATACACTAAAAGATAAGAAGAAATTCGTGTGCCAGGCCCCTACATATTTGATACCCTTTCCTATGAAAAAAACTTGCAATACCGATTTGATTCGTATTTCCATCAATTACTAGCTCAGTCTATGAAAAAACTAGGGAATCCTGGTATTATACACTAAAAGATAAGATGAAAAGCTCATGATACTGTTCACTTTAACGAAAACCCATATTTTTACACTAAAAAGTCAATCCTGGTACTATTTACTTTACCCTTTATTTTATTTTTATCGTTAAAACTCAAAATTTTCAAATCATTTTCATTAGTTTTCCTAAAAAACTATCTAATTTTAAACTCAACTTGGAGGCATTTTTGTGTGAGGGTTTCGATGTCACGTCATCTGTTCACCAAAGCCACACACACAAAAACCAAGAATCTCTCCACATTTTGAGTGGAAACTCACCAAAACATCCATTGCTTTCTTGCCTGAAGTTATACTGCTACCATGAACTCAGGTGAGCAGGAAGATTATTTTGACTTAATCGTATTGTCTTTTGTTGTAACATTAATCCACCAAGAAACTGCACCATCTTTACTAATTATATTTTCAGTTGATTACGTACGTTATTGTTTGGATCCTATCTACACACCTTGCCAAATCTCTCATAAGTACTTTGAAGAGGGTTTATTTATCTAAATAA